TGCTGAACAGCTCTGCACTTCAGCACTCTCATGCCCCTCCACCACCTGATACCATCACCTGGAGCCCGAGGATGACTCCCCAAGCCTGCTGCCAGCCCAAGGCTGCTCTGCTTCAGCAAAAATTGCTGCTGATCTGGGCATACGTGCAGAGGCTGCACTCAGGAGCAGTTAACTACAGTACAAACTGTGCCAGTTTATTTCATTGCCTTAACTGTATGTGTAGATGCACATTCTATGTCTTAACATAGGGTTTTGTGCATGCACAGAAGCACCTCAGCCTAATCAGCTAGAGGCCATGATCTACTGAGTACCAAATATGAGATGGAGTGGTGTCTAAACTTCACCTAACTCCCAAAGGAGGCCTAATTTGGTAGATGTGCTCTGGGCAGAAACTGAGGGTACTGAGCTGATTACTAAACACAGCATCCATAGTCAGTTTCTCTCATAAACACAGCTCTTGATGGCACCTGACTTCTGTATAATAGCTAAGTAGTTAAAGCACTCACCCAGGAAATGAGAACTATGGATTTTAGGCCCTCCTCAGCCTGAGGAAATTCAATCCACAACTCCCACCTCCTGAGAGAGTGCTTTAATAACCAGGATACTGAATACTGGGCAGCTTCCAACTCCTGCTGGAGGTGGGCCACAGCTCAACCCTGCTTCCAGAATTGTTTATGCATTTTACATCAGACAGTCATTGGATACAAAACAGAGATCTTGAGACCAGGGAATTCCCTATCCCAGCTGAGTTGCCTAATCACTAAGCTGTTCTCTTACCAGCCGCATGATTTTTGCATTCTTGATTTTAGTCTCAAGTTGGGGAGGCACCAAAGCCAAGAACAAAATGCTCTAGAAAGGGGCAAGAATTCAACTACAATCCTGTACTGCATGTATTGTTTTCTATTAGGGCAAAGACACACATAGCAGTTAGGATGAGTACAGACTTAGCACTAAGACCAATTTAAATTCAGTTTAAACCACAAGTGCCTGGATGCGTATGCCATCTTACAGTGGTTTAAACCTCCTAAACTGTTTCAGAAGTATACCTGGACAATAAAGCACTATTTTGAACTGGTTTTGTGTGAACCACTTTAGTGTTATGTGTGGATACAAAGCTTTCTATGACTGGCATCTGGTCGAACATTCAGGCATCCCACACTGCTCTGTTCCTTCCCTCTTCCCCACCCCAACTCTCACCTGGTACTGGCTGCCCTGGTATGCAACCAGAACTCCACTGTCTCAACCTCTATTGCCTGTACTTGATTGCAGTGTCCCTTACTGGGGGCAGCTCCCTGATGCTTTCAAAGAGCTGGTCAATTTCCTTTCATTGGTAGCGATTGACCAAGGTTCTGTGCATCCTAGACTTATGTGGGATGGAAAGTGGCCAGGTCAGTGGGAGGACTATCTAGACCCCTGTTTCTGTGGACCTGGGGCCTCGGGGCTCAGAAGGCAGCTCTCTGCCACTTTTAAAGAGCTGTCAATTTTCTTCCATTGGAGGCAGTGGAGTGCTTGGACAGCCCCCTGGAGCCTCCAAATCAGCCTGGGATGCACCAAACCCTGCTCAACTTCCAGAAACTGAAGTAAACTGATGAGTGGATTAGGGGAAAGGGTTATTTAAAAGTCACAAAAGCTATGGAGGCTCTTGAACACTCAGGTCCCAGGTACTCCAAAACAGGGGTCCACACAGTCCCCTCAAACCTGCAGGCACTCCCAATCAGGGTACCATCACATAGATTTACTATAATTACTCAAATACAAGATGAAGTTTTCTCCTTGCAAATTAGCATGGCGGAAAATAGCCACTTACTTACATTTGTATACAAGGAAACCTCATGAGGCATGTGTAGATGAAACTAGATCCCTAAATTGAAGCAGTGGGTTTTTAAAAACACCACTTCAATGTAAGGTGAAGTAAACCCCCATGTCGTGTACACCTGTGTCTTACTTGCCTCTCTGGCGGTAGGGAGGGGAGGTGAGCTGTCAGTGGGCGGAGTGGTCTCTGGCCTGCGGTGGGGTGGTGGTGGCTGGTGTTTCCCTCCACAGCAGCAGTAGGGCCCCCCCACAAGGCAGCACCCACCCGCAGGCACCCAGCTCGGGTGGTCCCAGAGGTCACCGCAGCCACTGAGGGAAGGACCGGGTCCTCACGCAGCTCATGCAGGCAGAAAGGCTTGGGGGGGGGACCAGACTCGCTGCTTTTTTTTTCCTTCGGTGGAGCCTGCCTTCCTGGGCTGCTGCCAGGCTGCCTGCACAGGGATGCCTGTACAGTCCCTGAGCCGTACGGCGCCCAGTGCTTCACTCCATGGCTGTAGGGCAGCAAACTAAAACTCCTCAGAGGTGTTTTAATTTGCTGTGCCCCAAAGTCATTTAAGGTGCATTACGCCGCCAAACATGCTACAGTGGCTGGAATTAATGCACAATACACCACCAATGCGTGCAAACACCAACACCATTAAAGCAGTGCAAAAGCATTTAACCTGCTTTAAAGTGTCATAGACACATGTCCATGAAATATCTTTGAACTGCTCCTAAAGCACCATATGCTCAGTAATGAAACCATGTATAAAACTGGTTAAATGCAACCAACATGAGCACAACTATAAAATACTTAGCCCGTATTGAATAAACATGCTGATGGGAACCTACCTTTTTTTTTTTGCAAAAATATGTATTTCTATATATATAAATAAATATATATAACTGTACCTTCAACACTCCAACACAATAGGAAACTACCATGAGAATAGGTTAGTATTTCCTATCTGAATAAAATACACAGTAGTGCCCATTAAGCACACTCCCTCTCAGCACAAACTCTTTTTCAAGTCATAGTAAAAGGCATTACATAC